TCAAATTTAATTCTAATCATTATTAGATTGGTTATAATTTGCATTTTATTTTTTCATTAAATTAATTAATTAATTAATTAATTAAAATGAAATAAAACTTTTCATTTTCAATTATGGTATAATAATAGTAATTGTGGTTATATTTTTTCGTTAATTTTTTAATAAATTAAATTAAAGCTTTTTAATAAAAATGAAAAAATGATTATGAAATGGAAAAATGTTTAATAAAAATTTGAAATAATTAATTAGTAGTTAACATTCTTGGATAAATTTCAATTTTGAATGTATGAGGTTAAATTTTAACAATGTATAAAATTTTAGTTAATTTTGTAAATTCTCGATTTTATATATTCAATTTTTACTTAAACCAAAACAATTTTACATAAATTCTCAATTTTGACAACTTTGCTAGACATTCTAGATAAAATACAATACAAATTAAATAAAGAGTAAGAATTAACTTACACACAATTTCTACATATATTATTTATAAAAAATTCAACCATTTAAAATTAAGAGTTGAAATTATCAAGACTTTGTATAAATTATCAAGACTTTGTATAAATAATACATATAAAAGTTGCGTATAAGTCAATCTTAACTTTTAAACAAATGACAAATTTTGTTATCACTAACTCCACATCAAAGATTAATGTCTAGGAAAAATGGTAAATGTCGTTTGAAGCAGGGTAAGCAGAAGCAAGAAAGCTGCAGCAAGAAAGGAGATGAACGCCCATGGAGTGTTGAAATAGTTGTGCCTTAAGCTTGCGATCCTTTTGTTCCAAAGTGCATTGTAATGCTCATTGACGTCATTACATATCTGGGCATAGAATTTGATGGAGACCCCGACATTATCTGTGATCCTATTAAACATGGTTGCGACAGCCTCATCATTGCCTAACCAATTTTCAATTATTCCACAGTGACAAAGCAACTCAACATCTTTTCCTGAATTAATCAAGCAATCCATAAACGTGGTAAATTCAGTTAAGTATTTTGGATCTTCTTTCTCAAATTGTTCACAGACAATGACATTGCGATACAAACTCTCTGTGGAATCTGATATTGTTATCATAGGAATCTCGAGTACACCATTTCTAAACATTATGTCAAACAAGGTATTTCCTTCACCCTTCTTGAACCGAATTCCAGCCTCTTTAAGCTCTGTAGCAGAACGTATCAATGACCATTTGCCATCTTTTGGTGCTCGCGAGTGATCCTCCACTACTCTTGAAGGAAGCCAATTCCCACGTACCAAGTCTAGTAAATGCTTGACACTTTTAATTGAATTATAGTCATAGACAACATCAACTCTTAGTCCCGGCATCGCGTCACCGAAGAGTCGTAGAAAACAGTTAACAAAAATGTTTCTCTGATTTTCCCTTATTATACCAAACAACTCCCAAAGCACAAAGAAAGGAAGTTGGTTCTCAAATAGAATCAAATCAAGCAAAATCCTGCACAAAGTTGACTCCACTCTAAAGACATACTCATCCATGTTACGATCAAGAAATAATTGGTGAATTAACTCAACAATAAAGCATCCATCAAGCACCAACATTTCTAGGAAGTCTTTTGTGCTAATACTTGAAGATTCTGAATAACAGTTACGGGCTTTTTCAACCATACCTCTCAGTGCTGCTACAAATACTTCGGCAGTATGCCCATTTGTTCGGCCAAGAAGCATTCCTAAGAACCGAACCTTGTGCACTTCCATCATCTTCAAGTGATTTTTGCCACGATAATAAGGACCAATTGAGATGATTTCTGGTTCATAGGCTTTTTCATTCACCTCATATAGTAGGCGAGGCACTCTAAAAATGGTATGCTCCGAAAATGTTGAAGAAAGTGCTTGCAGCTTCTCCTCTATGCTAGTGCAAACCGTGGTCGTTATTTCATCTGCCATTACCTGCATATAGAAAAACAGAAAAAAAAAAATGGAATTACAGAAAGGAATACGGGCCGGATACCTTATTGATCCTAATTGACAACTAAACACTTTTATTTGGTAATAGAAAGTTAGAAACTCATACCCCCCTTAACCGGCTTTTGTAGCAATTGATCTTTGCGGCTTTGAATCAACTGCTAAAAAGAATAACTTTTCTCTTGCTTGAATGTGGCACAAAAAGAAGGAAGAGAAAAATGAAAAATCTTCACATAAAATAGAGATAAAAGAAAGTCGTAATAATTTGATTAATTTCCTTTGAAAAATTATAGGATCGTGAGAAGTACTGTGCATACGTAGTTTCGGTCCAGGTCAAATGGACCGGAAATTGCTGTTTAAAAAAAAAAAAAGGACCGGAAATTGCAAGGAAGAGAGGCACTGCATTTTTTTGTCTGTGCATACGCGGTTTCGGTCCTGGTCAAATGGTCCGGAAATTGCGAGGAAGAGAGGCGCTGTATTTTTTTTCTTTCTTCTTTTGATCAGCGAAGTCAAATTAGAAATTTTATCACGAGGACCAGTACCGAATACCTACTTAACTGAACCTTCGGTTTCAAGAAGTTGCTCTTAAATCTTCAAGTGTTTGAATTTGTTAAAGGAGTTTTCAAAACTCATCAATATCTTAAAAAAAATATTCCTCTCTCGTATTGTAAATTGTTTAAAAAAAAAGAAAAAAGGAACAGCTACTGCACTAGCTGTTACAAAAAGAAAATAAATTCACTGCCTGCGGTAACCGCCTTGTTTTTTCCTAGTGAAAGATACTTTTGTGATTCAAGATGCATATAGAGAACATGATAATCAATATCAATCTATATAAAATGTTATCCTATGTATTAAATATGATATGTAAAATATATAGGTAAAAAGATATGAAAATTATATTATTATTATAAATGAAAAAAAGGAAAAATTATAAATAATAATAAGGGTGGTAGATGAAGAGGCAACCAAAGGAAGAAAAATGAAAAATAAAATTGTCCAACAAAACGAAAATGTAAAGTTGAGTGCCAATTATTTAAATTCCCTACTTTTTTTTCATCGTTGTTTTGTTTTAAAGATTTTTTTAAATCTAAAATTTAGTTGCAAGATAAGTTGTTTGGATTTTTTTT